TGCTGAAATATGGAGAAGTGCAGCTAAAACTGCTGCTGTTAGTGGTGCGATCCAGACCCTAGACTTCCTTGGATGTGAAGCTGTTTTAAAGGTTAGAAATGCTAATTTAGCCTTCCTAGGCCATTAAGAAATAAAGTTTATTTCCTTATTTTGTTTAAAAGAAAGCATTAAAAAAAAAAAAGCTGTAGTTATTTTTCATACATCAAATGTAATACTGTCCATCTCTGCTTTTACCCAACAGTGGTGTTGTATGTGTTCACAGGATAGTTCATTAAGCCAGAATTGTGCTCACAGTTTTAACACCAAAATAACCACTGACAGTGGTCTGAATGTCTTGCAAGAGAGGTAGGCTTAGCCACAAGGAAAGCCTTTGCTGGGTGATGGGAAACAGTAACAATGCCAGGAAAAGCCCTTGCCAACTCATTGCCCTTGCTGTGCTTTTTGCTTTTTCTGGAAACTCTTTGCTATGGGTTTCAGTCTCAAGTGGAAAACTTCAGCAGTGTTCTGACAAAGAGCCTGAGAACAGCAAGTAAATGTTGAGAATCAGTCAGGTCGGTATGCGCCTTGGAACTCTCCCTGCTGGCACTAAACTAAGAATAGGAGGTTTTTGTGGTAAGTAAAATAGAAATAGTCTAAAAATTATTCTTCCAAATAGGAAAATATTAAAATTGGTTGAAAGCAGTATAACAGCTATAATAGCTTCAGGCTTTTAGCCAAAAAAATGTAGGTAGATCTTATTCAGGATCGTTGATTTCAGATACTGGCAAACCCAAGAAAAATACAAAAGCTTTTAAGTCTTGGGAGAAGTGGGTAACAGTAATTCTGAACTGTAAACAGACTCCTAATCCAAATGGATGAAAATATATTACATCACTCCAAAACAGAATAAATTTTTATGTAAGAGGCAGTACTTTTACAGGCTGAATGTACAGCTAAGAGTAAAAACCATAAATTTTAGAAGTGGCTAGTGGTTTGAGTATTCTCAACTTGAAAAAAAAAAAGGATGGTTTCTCTGAAGTATTTCAGTTGGATGCTGCTCAGCACTGCTGAAATCAAGGCAGAAGTTAGTTTTTATTTTTTTTTTTTAAATCTGGTTTAAAGCTCTTGGGGTTTTTTAAAAATCTTTGATTTAATTTTATCTGTTTATTCAGTATTCACTGGAAAGAGTAAAATATTCCATAACTGGTTGTACTGTTGAACTTCACTTGCTGTAAACATTATTTGCTTATCATAACAACTAAATACCAATCCTTTATTTAAAAAAAAAAAAGAAAAAAAAAAATTGCTGCTAACCCCCTTTCCAGACCAACATGGAATACTGAGCTAATTTTTTAAAATAAATAACTAAAGCCTACCTAATCCTAACTTTTTTATAAGACTGCAAAATACTGCTTTGGTGTTCTTTTGTTCTGTAGTTTTCCTTTCTAATATCACTTTACCAAGAAAAACTTTTCTTTTATGCCTGTAGCTGTTTCCAGTATCACTCAGCAGCCAGCTACCCTCCTGCTGCCAAAGAACAGTGTGTAATGTGGAAAATGAGCCATAGTGTGCTCTGGTAACATAACTGGACATACCTTTTCACATGCAAATTGGCTCAAGTGATGTCAGTTATTTCTCTCCAGATAATACCAGTTCTTTCTACATCTCTTTCTCTGGACAACACAGGCATCTCTGCATGTGGGCTTACATCCACCTGATGAGACAATGCCAACTTTGCATGGGGACGTACTAGCTTGGAGACCTAATGTTCCTCCAATTGGACATTTTATCATTCCTGTTCTGGATGGGATAGTGCTGAGCTGGCAGATGACATTAAACTGTGCTGTTTAAACCTATAGCCAGAGTCCTTTCTTCAGCATGTGCTTTCTGTTTTGCAGTTGGAAGCAGGCAAAAAGGAGAGCAACAAGTAAGAGCTGTTGGAAAAGAGAAATGTGTGTATTTCTTTTGGCAAGGAAGGCACTCCACAGTGAGTGAGAAAGGAACATCAGCACTGATGACAGTGGAACTTGATGAAGAGAGAGGAGCACAGGTGAGCTTTCTGCAGATCTAGCTGGCAGTCCTGGTAAGCCTTGCCTGCCCAAGTAGCCACTAACAGTAAAAGCAGGCAACCTTTTTTGCCTCCTCTCTTTCTGTAAAGATCGTCTTGCCAGTACAAATAGCCAGGCCTCAAAATTACTTTTGGCTTTATTCCAACTTCCAGAGACACATAAGCTCCTTTATGGATTGTCATTCCCAAATCCCACTCATCAAGATGATGTTTCTGAGAATGGTTGAAGAACATCTTCCCTCCTCTCCCTGCAGGAATAGGTGAAGCACAGTTAAACAAATTTTTGCCTTCCCTTCCATACATGCTCAGATAACAAGACTGTCTTCCTAGCACTGAGAACAAAAGAAGCACTTTCTGTGAGGCCAAGGCATGAAAATACATTTGAAATTTTCAATTTGTTTACTCTGCAATTACAGAGTAGATTGCCTTGTTTTGCAGAGATGATAGCAACTGCAGATGCAGTTAGTTTGAAGCTCAGAGGACAGGCTAGCTTGCTTTTTCTTTAGGAGAAGTTAGGCTTTGCTGTGGCTCGACTGTTACCAGCACACAAGAAGGAAGGAATAAAGTTGGTTTCTGTACCTTGATAATGTTGTAATTAGTTTAACAGCAGTGTAGATGTGACCATTAAGACAGGAGGTCATAGAGGAGATACACAAATACGCTTGACCCCAAGTGCAGGATGCTGTGCAACATAGCTGATTTAACAACTGACTAGATCAGTTTCATAATCAAAATGCAATGTTTAATGAGCAGAGAACATGCATGTTCTCACATAAACCAGTTTACAGCAAATTGTGAACCTACGTTAAGTTCCTACAGTATCTTATAATAGTTTCAAAGAATATCTGGCAAGATGGCCCAGTGCTGTAAAGACTTCAAATAATGGTTAGTTTAAACTAAATTAAATTAAAGTTCATTTGGTATTCCTTATCTTCTGAAACTCTTGATTGTTAGATTCCAACCAGAGGTTTCTTTTAATACGCAGGTCACATATGAAATCCATTGCATGCTGATATATATGATAATTTAAACAACAGTCAGCAGTTGTAAAGTACAAGGAAAGCCATCTTCATGGGTGGCCATAACTGCATATTTTTTAATAATCCATAGAGACTAGTTTTCCTGAGTTTATATACTTGCTTCTTTTTTTTTTTTTAATGAAGAATGGTGCTTTCAATTTCTAGGTACAAGTGCTTCAAGGGAAAGAACCACCATGCTTCCTGCAGTGCTTCCAAGGAGGGATGATTGTGCATGCTGGAAGAAGGGAAGAGGAAGAAGAAAATGCACAAAGTAAATTACTGTTAGTTAGGAGCTTCTACCCCCAAATCCTTTTTTACCTATTGTGAAGGGCTTTGAATTCAGTCTCAACTACCATACTCTGTAGAAAAGAGAAATGAAACCCATGAAACAGCTTTGCCATGCTTTGTTTCAAGGTAGTTTTTCTTCTTTGAGCTTAGAATGGATTTTGTTACCCTAGAGCAAGCTGACTTTATTGTATTGATATGCATATAAATAGTTCTAGTTGTTTTTTTAATTAAGCAAAGTGCCTGCTTGTTTTAAAATAGGTTCTTTTCTACATACTCTGGGCAAAAGAGTAGTTTTATGAGCAGTTCTCTTGCTCCAAGGAGAACTCTAAGCTTTTGTTACTTATTAATTACTATTTGCAACATATTCCTTGAATGCTGCAGTTGAGGGAGGAGAATTTCAGTGCAGGCGTAGCTTGGGAACGTTCCAGTTCGCATCTGAGTATGACCTCCTGTGTCTAAGGTGCATGGGGGAAGAGGAGATGAATAGAAGGACGACTGTATTTGTTTCCCTTTTTGCCCTGTATGAAACAGAGTAGAAACTTGATTCTTCTGCTCTGTTAAGCTCTTCAGCTCCTAACACTTGTACTCTTGTAGCAAGGTTTCATAAGGCATCTTCTCTGCAACAGAGTTTCTCAAGTGGTGTTAGCCAGCCTCAATGCTTAGCTAGTTTATTCTGTGACAATATAGGCATGCAATATGTGAAATTCATCCTGTATGAGAACAGCTGTTCCGGAGCAGAGATCTTGAATTTTCAATCCCATGTGACTGTATAATACTGCTGCACTGTTCCTGTCTGCTCCAGGTGACTGGAGGCTATATTGCGTGCGAGGAGAAGTTCCCAATGAAGGAAACTTACTTGAAGTAGCATGTCACTGCAGCAGCCTGCGTTCCCGGACATCCATGATTGTCCTCAATATAAACAAAGCTCTTATCTACCTGTGGCATGGCTGCAAAGCACAATCTCACACCAAGGATGTAGGAAGAACAGCAGCCAATAAAATAAAAGAACAGTGAGTGTCTGACCTATATTTTGGAGATGTTTATACAGGCTACGAATTTACTTAACATAGTCTGCCTCAAAGAAAAGTTGAAAAAAATAAAGCTGTCCTCTCAGTACAGCTGCAGCATGTGCATGCTTGGTAAGGAGGAGGAATGATGGGTAGTTGATTTGGTGGAGTAGGGAAAACTCATGTTCTGTAATCACTTTCAGTTAAGGTCAAATGGACTTATTCTTCCTACTGTACTATTTACAATTGCAAAAAGTCTCTTTCCATTTGGAGGGAGATGCTCAATATTTGAATAGCAAACTAAATCCCAGTTGATAGGAGGATTAGAATCAAGCCTTATGAATAAGAAAGAGAAAATGAATTTGGGAAAGCATGTGAGGACAGCAGTAGTTACCAGTGCGGGCAATGAGAATCCCTATTGCAAGCTCATGCAAGCATCTCCCTCCCCTCTGGGTGTGTGATCAGAAACGCTATCAGAACGGTTGCTGAAATTCCATATCTTGTTTATTGATAATTTTTCTCATTATTTTCAAAAAGCCTATGTGGACATGAAGTGTGCAACAAGCCTATGGGATGATTCTGGGTTCCAGTAACATGAGTGGTCAGCAGGTTTGTGTTAGCTATGTTTGGGGTGGGAAAGTTGGGTTCACTCTCTTTCTTTGTGTTTTGTAGATGTCCACTGGAGGCAGGACTGCACAGCAGCAGCAAGGTGACGATTCATGAATGTGATGAAGGGTCAGAGCCCTTGGGATTCTGGGACGCATTAGGAAGGAGAGATCGAAAGGCCTATGATTGCATGTTGCAAGGTAGACCTGCATTCCTGGATTTGGCACTCACATTTTACTTTACTGCTCTATAGTATTGTAACATTTAATGTAAAGCTTATTAAGAACTTATTGGTAGCTGAGATCATCCCTTCAGAGAAATGCTGCCAAAAATCTACCGAGTTAAGTAATACTGTTCTAGAAAGAAAGTGCTGGAAAACGAAGTGTTTCATTTTGTTCTCTTCCCCTTCTGCAGCCTCTCTGTATTCATGCAGCACAGAGCAACAGTTAACGCTGTTAACAACATATTTTCCTTCTCTTCTGAAGGGATGAGGGGGCGGTTGTGCATGCATTCTTGTCCAGTCTGTGCTTTGAAACTGCCAACAAAGGTAGCAGGGGGATTGATTTACCAAGTGGAAAATTTGTCAGCTAAAAAGTAAACTCTGAAAGGAGTTAGCTTCGCCTAAGCTGCAAAACAGCCAGTTATGAAATGGCTGATAGTAAATAGCCAGGATCAGATTAAAACCAATGGCAGCCAGCCTTTTAGCTCAAGTTCTTCACAGCTGTTGCTAGTCCCCCAAGACATCTGGTCATCTTTCTTTATTTTTCAAAAATTACAGAATTTACAGTTGCACTAAAAGTTGATTTTTTTATTTTTATTTTTTACATTCATCTCTGGAATTTTCTATTTTAATCTTCTTCATTTTTGCTCTTTAAAGATCCCGGAAAGTTTAATTTCACCCCCCGCCTGTTCAGCCTCAGTAGTTCATCAGGAGAATTCTCAGCCACCGAATATGTTTACCCTTCAAGAGACCCTGCTGTCATCAATTCCATGCCATTCTTGCAAGAGGATCTTTACACTGCCCCACAGCCAGGTATATGTTTTAAAATACTTAAGTAACAAGAAAACAGATAATTATATCCTGCATTGGGCAGTGATTCAGTAACTGTAATCTTTTCTAACTTGATTTGTCAAAGGAGAATGTGTACGTGTGATGCTTATACAGCATTAAGCAATAACAGTGATTTTTCTGTGATAAAGATGCTGAGAACTAATCAAACATACATGTATCCCAAAAGCCTGATATAACAATACATTGTTTATATCAGAGAATCTGAGTTTAGGGGATTCCGAGAAGTAGTTAGTGACTGATGATGGCTTTGTTATTTTTTGGCTGCATAGCACTGTTCCTTGTTGACAATCACCATGAAGTGTACCTGTGGCAAGGCTGGTGGCCTGTGGAAAACAAAATCGCCGGATCAGCTCGAATCAGGTGGGCTACAGACAGGAAATGCGCCATGGAGACAGTGCTCCAGTACTGCAAAGGTAACGGATTGCTGTGCCTGGCTGTTTTGTGTGTCATACCTTTCCATGCCTCACTGACCTGAGCTGAAAGGTACTTGGTACTCAGGTGCTTCCCCGATGACATTGATAAACATCAGTGTATTTGAAGATACATTCTCCACTCTTAGCAAACCATTTATGTAGTAATAGCATTGTTCCCAAATTGCCAAGATCCTCTGCTGGCTCAATTCGCTTAGTTTCTCTTATTTCTCTTAAGGCTTAATTTCTCTTCTGTGTCCCCAATGTGGGAGAATACTTCAGACATTAGATCCCTAAAAGTGACTTCTGGGAACACAGCCTCTTAAACCTGAATGCTTTCTGTCTAGCTCCTCTTAGATTTCATCAGCTTCTGTGTATCAAAAGACTGAATGAAGATACTGTTTGCTGATGTAACTGGGTTTTGATTTAGCAGGGGAGATGGAAAGACTTTGAAGATTGAGAACAAGTCTCACACAGAAGCAGATGGTCATTGGAAATGCTGGAGCACAGAGCTTAGGCTCTGTGCTCACTTCTACAAGACATAGTTATTGACGCTCAGTGTGCTGTGATTCGAGCTGCAATTGATGATCATGTAAGAGTACACTGACCAGATTATTTTCTGCACTAGTAGGGTTTCCTTGAGACACTGTAATGCTTTCCTCTCGCTTCATCTAAAATTATGTGAGGCTGGGAACAGACCTTGCATCTTCTGATGGAGGATGAATAAAGAATGGTGTGGGGTCGCCATCCAGGAAAGAGGACCTAAGTAATGGCCATGTTCTGTTAGTTCAGAACAATTTCCCACTGGAAATAAGTCAGTAGTGCTTAACTGGTGCAAACTATGCCCTCTTGCAAGGAAAGCCTGGTCACTTAGAGACCTTCAGACCTCATGATGCCACTGATTTCTTCTGTAGTAAATAAACTGTACAACTTGTGACACAGCTGGTGGTGTATGTTATCTTTTCCCTTTTGTATATTTGAAGAGGGAAAGCAATACCCTTGTTGAATTCCACTCATATGAGGATAAACCAGTCTGTCCTTCCCAATCTGCAGGTCGAAGAGGAGTAGGAGTCAGTGTTGTGTTTCTCATCAGTTGTCTTCTGTCATTGAGGGGAGGTGGTAACACCTGGCAGGAGACAGCTGAAAGCCAGTACTGGAGACACTGAGATTTATTGGAGTGCATTATTGCTCTACCTGGGTCATCTTCTGGTGTCCACTGCCAAACAGTAGCATTTCTTTAGGAATGGGGTGCTAAAGACAGGGCAGTAATTGGAAGAGTGTTTGGCAGTGACTGCTGGATTCCTAGAGAAGAGACCAGTTACTTGTTCTCCAGCACCTCCAGCCCCAGATTTGCAAGTCAAAAGGAGTGATAAAGTACATTTCTTTGAAATCATTTCATACCATGTGCATCACAGCAGAAGTGAATGTCAGCATAGAGGAACAGGGCCTTAGGCAATGGAGTGCCCAGAATTGCTCAGCAGGCTAGTGAGAGAGATGGAAGTGAGATCCTGGTCTCAATGTTCCTGACGAAGTGCTGTAATCTTTTGCTAATGAAAATCATGTTTTCTGGCCCCAGCAGAGGTGGAATCAGATACACATGCTGAGGTTTGGGTACGTTTCCAGATTTCTTGAACTTCACCACATTTGATGATGGGAAAAGGGATTAATACCTTCTGCAATGGATTGAATTTGCTGTATCTGAGTTTGATGCACAGTAGATGGCTCTTCAGTGACTCCTGATGGGTCTGAAGTTTAGCATGTGTATTATAAGATGAGTTTTTTTGCTGGGTGCTCACTCCTCTTATCACTGGCCATGACTTTGCAGCAGTTGTGGCTTTATCCTCATTGCCATGGGGTGGCTCTCAAGAGCTTTGGGCTGTGTGGATTGGTTAAAGACCAATTCTACTTGTGCTATTTCTATGCTAAAGCTGATGTGAACTTCTTTAGCAGTTTTTTACTGTTCAAGCTATGCTGTTCTGGTGGTCTTTCACTTTCATGATCTGGGATTCTGTCAATCACTTCAAAATTTCATTGCATCAAGCTGTCAGGGCTGACTAATTCTTATGTGTTCTTACTTACCAAGATGGAGAAATTGAATTTCAGGAGATACCAATGCTGCTGCAATTATTTTGACTACCAGAATATAGCTGAGTGATCAGAAGTATTAAAACACTTTTATCTTGTTTTTCTCTCTCCATTTCTTTCCTCATCTATGTCCCTTTTTTCTCCTTCGCCTTTTTTTTTTATTTTTTCCTGTCTTGCAGTGTTTAACTATGTGATGATATGAAAGAGATTGATTAGCAACTCTAGATACCCCTTGAATATACCAAGCAGTTCTCCTTGCGCATAAATCTTAATTAACTTGTCAAAATGTCTTGAAGGTTTTCCTGTGGTTTTAGCTGCTAAATCAGCAGTCTGGAGAGGTGAGCTGCAGACTGCTAGGAGAGGGAAGAATCTGGTTTGCCCTTCAGTGATCCTTAGTGAGGAGATCTGCTTGTGCTGAGGTCAGAGTTCATGCAATTAAAATGTTTCTCCACTTACATATAAAATCTTCTTACCTCTACTGGAATGTTAGCAAACACCACTCTCCTTTTATCTCTTGGTTGAATAACTGAGAATGGAGCAGTGCAACTAGAGCAGATTCACATATACTTTTTAAATGCAAAGTTTTTAAGTGCTTGTTGAATCATTCATAATAGAATGAGCAAATAAACCACAGTGAAAGTATGTGGAAGAGAAGGCTTAAAATCAAGTATTCCAGTGATAAATCTCCTGTCTAAATTGTATAGTTCAAGCATTCACATTCTAATACTTTCTTAGACTACTCCACAGAGCTTTTACCTCTAGTATTCCATTTCATGTGAACATGTTCTCTCTAATCAGATTGCTCCCAAAATCTAATGTAAAGCCAAACTTGTAATGTTCAGGTTTTGCAAACCTAATGGAACCACCATGTCCAGCCAGGCTCTCTGTTTGCATTCAGCACAAGTTCTCTGGGGTGCTCCTCGGCCACGGGGAGGGTGGCTGTATTCTTTTAGACCCTCCTGCCTGACAGCCCACAAGCATAAAGTGCAGGTAGGGACTGCAGCAAAAAAACAGGGAGTTCTGTAATAGATTTACATACTCTGGAGGAAATAATTAGTGCATTAAAGATGCTCTGAGATTGAATGTAGGGAATAAGAGAATTTTGCAAGAAGCTGTTTTTAGGGAAGCTACAGTCCTCTGAAGTGAGGTGGTGTCATGTTGCTCTGTTAGTTTCATCTGATTTTGGACTTTACAGCATCTTCAGCTTTTCTGTTTGCTATCTGGAAGAAAGATTTGATTAGACAGAGTTGTTTGAATCCAAGTAAGATGAAGGTACAATATTATTTTGAATTATAGCTCCTCCTAGTCCCTGACTGCCTGTCTACCTCTTTCCAATAATAATTGGCATTTATCAGTGCTTTTGAACCCTTGGAGAATAAAATCATTCCACCAATAAGGTCTCTTTCACCAGTACTTGATATAATGACTTCACAGCATCACTCCTAAGCAGGGTTATGTCCATGTCCTGTATCCTGTGCACATATACATATTTTAAAGAAGCGGGACTGTCTTTCAAAGTCATCGATAATTACCATCCAGCTATTGCAATACCTCTGTTAACTTGCAGATCCCATTCCTTTGAATTTTTAATAGCAAAATTTTGTGTTAGACTTCCATATCCCAAGCCAAGGACAGTTTAAACATTCTCACTTAAGCCTCCAGGCTTCAGATTTATTTGCTACTGGCAGGACACTTTCACTGTGCATGCCAGAAGGTTTCATTTATCTAAATTTGGTTAATTTTAGACCATCACACTTTGCTTACTGTATTCTAACACTGTTTTTGTAAGATAAGAAATACATTGAGTTAGGAAGTAACTGCGGGGGATTTTCAGCATACATGGTTTGATCTTTGTGGTCAGATACAGTAAAAAGGCAGATTTAAGAATATTGGAAAAAAAATCTCGTGAAATTTTTTCCTCCTGCCTTAAATTGCTTCAGCTTTTCTGGAAATACTCAATTAAACATGCTAACAAGGTAGCTTTGCATAGTAGATGACATTGTAAAATATGGTACCATTTTCATTCTCTCTTTTTTTCTTATATTTTTACTGATTTTAGGAAAAAATGTAAAGAAGCCACCAAAATCCTATTTAATTCATGCTGGCCTAGAGCCTCTGACCTCCACTAATATGTTCCCAAGCTGGGAACACAGGGAAGACATCGCAGAGATCACAGAAATGGTAAATCTTTTCATTACACAGACTGTTTCCTCCTGCTAGTAATTGTGTCTTGTGTTGTCAGGTAACATTGCTTGTTTGTGCTGTCAAGCACCAAAATCCAGAGGATGAACTTACAAAGTACAGTTCAGGAGCCTGCACAGGAAAAAAATAACATAGCTAAATCCTGACTGGGAGTGTAGATATCAGAAGCATTCCTGGTTGGTTTTTTTTTAATGTAAAATCTCAAATTCTTTTTTGTTAAAAACAGGGGGAAACTGTTATCTGAATCATCTCTTACAAAGAGATGTGCTAGAGTTTAGTAGAGAAAGTGTTTCAGTTGCGTGAAACAGACAGCAACATGCAGTTCTGGTCTGTCCTCCAGGGTTGAAGTGCAGGGGAGCAAAATGCCCTGCAAAGGATCAGCTGGCTCCAGCAGCTCTGCATTGATTTCCCCACCTGGGAAGTGGTGTCGCAGCGGAATTTCATGTGACTGCTTTAAAAGCCTTCACTGAATGGTCATTTCAAGGCAAATGACATTTTCTGCTTTCTAAGTCTTCTGCAGCCATCCTAAGTGGAAAATCCTGCCTTCAGCCATAAACTGACATTTGGAAAGTGCAAGATGTCCTCCTGCTACGTGCAGACCTGGTTTTCAACTGTGAAGTTGTTGTAGGGCAGGGCTGTTTGCCTGGTGCGGACCTGGATGCCTATGGGCCAGGCAGTGCAGGTTGATTCCATGCCGCCCGCAGACTGCAGTGGGAGCAGTTGGTGGTTTCAGCATTGTGATCCTGTTCTACATTTTCTCCCTGCAGGATGCTGATGTGTCTAATCAGATAATCCTTGTAGAGGATGTGCTGGCCAAGCTGTGTAAAACAGTGTATCCACTAGCAGATCTCTTAGCTAGACCTCTGCCTGAGGGAGTTGACCCACTGAAGCTTGAAATTTATCTTTCAGATGAGGACTTTGAGGTAAGGAGGGAATGGGTGCACTGTTACTCTCTGCATGTGTGTCTAACTATGCTCTATGAAGTCATTTGACAGGTTTGCTACTTACATGTGTTTTTACTAATGGTGCATCCTCTCGTTTTAAATGCAGGTTGCGTTAGAGATGACGAGAGAGGAGTACAATGCACTGCCATCTTGGAAGCAGGTTAATCTGAAGAAGGCAAAAGGACTTTTCTAAGTTGTGTTTATTGGAGTGAGCACTAAAGGGATGTCTTTTTTCACTTGCTATGCCCTTTCAAAGAATTGTACCCCACATTTACAAAATAAATAGAAATAATCTGAAGTTATTAGCGACTACCTATCTGGAAGTGTGTAATATCAAAGGCCAAGAGAACTCTCTGGACATGGAATTCAGTTTTGACTCTTAAAAGTAACATGTTTAAGCTCTGCTCTGCTATGCACTCAAACAGTAGTTTCTTAAGCTACTGCAGCAGGTGTCCTCTGGCTATATCCAATACTTGCCATTTTTGTTTTTGAAGAAGTTCTCTTTGTAAAGTGTTATTTTGTTAGTTTGTGGATTACAAAGAATTTATATTTATATAAACACATAGAACAAGTATGTATTTAACAATGCAATATATATTCACTTTCAAGACTTTCATGTCAAAACTACAGAAAAGTAGCTGGATGGCAGTTGCTTGTACTGAATTAGCTGTACCACCAGTATATATCTCTCATGCATTCTGAAAAGTTTCTCTTAGCAATAGGTAATGAATTGTTCTCAGTGCTGCTTCAGGTGCTAAACTGAACAAAGCGTTTGTATTTATAGCATGGATTTCTTGAGAAACTATGCGAATCAACCTTTATACTTTATTATCCAAAAATGTATAGTGCCTTGTTTTTTGTGTACAGTTTATATACAAAAAAAAAAAGATTGGTCTGCATTTTGAAGATGGCTTAGAACAGTCTCCTATGTTACTTTTATAACAGTAGAAATAAAAACATCTCAGTTTCTAATACTTGTTGTAAACATTAAACATGTTTTTGTGATATAAGAACTGAAAGTAAAAGCTTATGAATAAACTCTTAGCAATGCTCTGACTTGCCATTATTTTGTACTATAATCTGTACTAAGTCATTGTAATCTTCCATAACATGGTATTTTAGCAAAATATTTTAACCTTAGATATCTGCAGGTGTTGTACAGAGGAATAAATTTGAGAAGAATGTAGAAAAAAAAATCAATGTATGAGATAAAGTGAGGTTAAATGCTGAACATGGAGCAGTCGCACAACTTCTGTACCCTTTGGGTTGCCCTGTTTTATACATGAAACCAAAATTATTATGCTGATTTTCAAACTTTGAAAAAATCTTTTCAACCTTTGTGCAATTGAGAGTAAAACTTGAACTGAAAATGTGTGGCATCGTGTCTATTCTTTCAGTAAGCACCAAGTACTTTTCACCTGACTTGAGATATTACAGGTGAATTTTCAGCAGTGCTGTATTTCCTTTCATGAATGGTTTTTGTCAAGAACTGGAAAGAAATAACCCAAGAAAAGCATAGCAACAGTATTCAAAGACAGGACCAGCAAAAAGCAAGATGTTTAGATGTCTGATAGTTCCTCAGAGGTCCTCAGCTATGTCTTCTGTATGGGGGACACTCTTAGTTTGAAAATGCAGGGTTTTATATCGACAAGTTTATTTTTCAAGCACTGAGAGGCTTCCAAAGTCACTGCTGTATTCATCTAATTATTTTTGCACCCATATATTCTCCTCTTTCATCCTCTCTGGTCATAAAATCAGGCAGGAATTAAGTTGTTTATTCATGTTCAATCTGTACTGTGGGGGTAGCAGGTTCCTCTGTTTTGATTTTTCTCTCCAACAGAGAGATGATTTGCATAGCATGATTGACCTTGTTTTTCCCTCTGGCAGGGTAGTATCATTTGCTTTTGTTTTTTGAAAACACCATCAGTCCTCCAAATGCTGCTGAAGGGCAACATGAACCCACCTTTAAAGCTTTTAGAATCTCAGCTAAAAGACAAGCTGGCAAGGGGACCTGCAGGCAGCAAAACTAATTCAGTGCTGTCAGCTCTCTTGAGTTATCAGAATTTTTACCCAATTTGATACCTTGTGTCTCATTTCCAGGAACTAGGACAGAGAACCCAACTTCCTACTTAAGTGCTTTCCTCTTAATGTTGCCTAGGAAAGTTTCAGGGTTTTACAGAGAATAAAATATTTTTATTGTCCTTAATATACTTGTTACTTATCAAAATGCCTTTGTCAAATGTGAAGCTGATAACAGAAAGCAGGTCAGTGTAAGGCCTCAGACAGAACAGTGGGTTATGCTTTAATTTTCTGTACCTCTCCACTGCGGGGACGCCATTTATGGTTGGAAATTGTAAAGGGCTATTAAAATTATCTTGAACTGCTTTTACAGCCCTGCATGGGAAATAGATCTGGAACAGGATTTGTCTGGGTATGGGGAGGGAGGTTGGTTGCTTGCTTGCGTTTTATCTAATGTTGTTTGCTTGTTTCAGACTGACCCCCAAGAACACAATGTCTTGGATTTCAAAAGCAAAATATCTGGTACAGGGACTCTGTATGTGGAGAAGGCAGTACCTTGAACATGATATTCTGCATTTTCTGCCAATCTCGCAGCTTTCAGGCCTTGAGCCATGATTCTTATCTCCTGTGGTTTTAAACTGCTCAATCCTGACTGTTCAAAATATTGCTCTTTGATTACACAAACATTCCTGTACACGTAAGGATTTGTTAGCAGTGAAATGGGCTGGAAACACGAATATATTAGTATGCCAGAACAGCAAATAAAACATTATGTCTCAAAAATCTGCAACCTGTATGCTTCATCCAGGAGAGGAGGGGGAAATGGAAGATAGGTAGGAGGAGAAAAAAACCAAAACTCATCTTTCACAGTTTGGGAGAGCTTGTTTCTGTTCATCACTGTCCCAAGAGTCTCCCAAATGGGTATTTAGCTGAGCAGGACTTGTGGACCCATGTGCACAACTGGTAAAAGCTGATTCTGAGCTTGCCTGAAAGCCCGTGGTGCTTTCGTGGGATGGGGCAGCAGCCAGCGCAGAGTCGCCTGCGCAGTGGAGTCTGCACGCTGGAGAGCCCTCTGAGACCAGTCCCTGCTACTAACTCTCAGTCTAAATTTCCCATTTGCCTTTCAGATCAAGTAGCAGATAAAGAGAAATAGCTCAATTTATAATATTCTGCAAGGTGCCTGCTTCTACCATCCACTTGTGGAAACTAAAGCAAGTTTGCAATAATCAGTCATTGCTGCTCAGAAGTAGGAGAGCGCAGCATATACGTTCAAGTATATGAACATGAGGCCTCTGTTCACCTGATGCACTCTGCCAGTATATTGCTGGGAGCTGATGCTGCAAGGAAATCCCTTTTGGGCAGAGGGTGAGGATCACGCTCAGACAGTCAGTACTGGCTCTGGGGGCACATGGTCCCCTTTGCTTCTCACAAGGCAACAGCATGAGGTTGATACACAAGCCCGAGATGCTGCCGTGGGTAGGTGAACACTTTTAACCTTCCTCCTGAGACTGAATGTGTGAATTGATCCTTGATGGGTATGAAGGAGGTTGGGGTGTAGTGCTTGAAATGCCAGGTTGGTTCTCCCTGCTTTGGTCTTCTATATGCTCTGTAAGGTTAATGCTGATTCTATGCTGTTTTCCTGTGATTTGATCAGTGGAGTTAAGCATGTGGAAGAACAGCTTGCTGTGAGTACGTCCTCTTTCTGCTGCTATCCTGGGGAGTTAGTAGCTACAGCTCTCTGGAGAACAGTCTGGAGAGTCCATGCAGTTTCCTGATTCACACTGGCTCTGTAGCTAAGTTTTATTAAAACCTGTGACTGTGGGGTAGTGTTATCACAGTGTTATTTTTCTCTATGTAATCCAACTATCCTGGTCCTATAACAATAATGCAAAAAAAAACCCAGCTAAAATATTTTAATAATATGTTTTCCTTCACATTAAGCCTTAGCATGTGAGATGTGCTGGCCTCTTGCTAGCAGTATTTTTCTGGGCGTCAATTTCTGAACTTGGAGGTGCACCTCTCCACGGACAGAGGCACGGCCCAAACACCCGAGCAGTAAGTACAGCCGAGCCCAGAAAGAAAAGGAAGAGGCAGCAACTCTTCCTGCCAGCGGGCCCGACAGCAATCCCAGGGACTGCACTGGTCAGCTACTGCCCAACCTGTGAGGGAATCCGCTGCTCACACACATGGTACCTGCCCACAGGGTGACAGCTCTCCCCTGCAAAATCAGTATCTCTTGGTTTAGCAAAGGTGCTGGCTGCCAGGAATCCCACTTGCTCTGCGACTCACAGGTGATCTTAAACTCTCTGTTTGGCAGCCCCAGGACCTGCTCTGGGTCAGGAATCTTTTTGAGGGGGATTTTCCAGTTTGTTTTTGTGACACTTGGGGGTAGACAGGAGGAGTATGCAGCCAAGTGGCAGTATTTTGCCTGCCTTGTGGGGAGGACAGCCCTCCTCCATGTTCCTCTGCATTCAGCACAGACTAAGAGCCAGTTGTGCAGGGACTGGTCCTGGAGCTGGAGAGCCACTGAACAAGCAAACCCAACCAGCCTGTAAAGCTGCACACTCTGGAGCTGAAGCAGAGTAAATCTTTGTCTGGCTTCTGCTTCTCCTGAAGTGCAGCGTATTTCAGAGAAATGGTGAAAAAGATGGAGCACCATATGCTGTGTGGACACTGTCATTCCTGCCCCTGCGCTGCTTTGCCTTCGGGTGCTCCCTGCCCTTCATTCCTTGAGGAATCAATGTAATATGCCCAGGTGCCAAGGCAGCAGGCACACGAGCTCAGCAACAGGGACTGCATCTTCACAGTCCTCCATGGCAAATCTTGTGCTCTCCATGAGGATATGCAGACCAAGGGCAAAGATGGCCCCATCCCCTTTTTACAGCCATAAGTAAAGGCAGCCCCACAACTTGAGGTGCGCATCCAGTCCTGACACTGACACGGCAGAAAGCACCAGCTGCTCTCTTGGCAAGACCATAAAGTGCCACTTGTATAAAGCTTTGTAAATCACTCCTGCTCAGTGTTGCCCCTTAGACTAGCACAGGAATATATTTTCACAGCAAGTACCAGGCTCTGGACAAATTTCTTACATCCTGTTGCTAAAAGATACAATATTGATGCAAAAGAAACAGCTTTGTTTTCTGTTCTCTCATTGCAATAAGCAAGTGGTGCATTTGAAGAAAACTTTATCTTCCCAAACAGAAGGTAGAGTCAGTTGTAGAGATTCATGGTAAAAGCTACTGAATGCATCTGAGGTCCCTGGCTCTGCTGCAGGTGTGTGTGCACACGCAGTCCAGGCCCTGTGCTGGCAAACCGTTGCAGTCATGCATTTCTATGTGTGTGACTCTATCAATCCAGCCAAGCTGGAAGGGGCCTTGAGGAGTCACCTATCCTGGCTGCCTACGCCATGGCTGCAAACACAGTACCTAAACCACCCTGAACATCTCCTCTGTCTTCTACAGGGATCTGTCCATGGAACTACCCTCCAAGTTACCGAACCAGAAAAAAGTCCTAGAGCACATGCACTGCTGGAAGGAAGAGCAAGGAGAGGCAGAAGACGACCACCTGTATTGTCCCCATTTTCCATATTGCTAGCTGACACCTGGTCAATTAACTTACAGCTGATACCTGTTTAGCTTCAATTTTACACTCCCCTAAAGGGTGGTGGTTGCTCAGGCTCCCCCATCACAGCCAGTGAGTTCCAGACTGTGCTAACCAGCACATTCGTTTTCCAGTGGCAATTGCTGAGCCACTTGTGCTGTGACAGCAGCACCCTGATATTTAATCCCTTTAATTTAGAAATATTCTGTATAAAGTGTTTACTTGTAGGACTATAATTGTTTTTATGCAGCCAGTAAACATGTAGTAGCTTCAATATGAACACTACTCTAAGTAATGGTGAGTTGCTGTGAAGAAAGGCACCTGCTTCCTAGCTCCAGAAATTGGATGCTCTACGTAATGATGTCGTCGGAAGTGGTAACGCTTTATTACGAGTGCCTCTGTTCTCACAGAAATTGTTGTTCGCTCTACGCT